AAAATATGATATAAGCTCTGGCAGACTTGGTTCTATGGTAGGTCTTAAAGGGTTAACAGTACCCAATAACATCTTTGTCAACATCAAAGAATCTCTTCCAATGACCCCATAAACAAACGCATATTACAGCTACTGTGTCGCTGACCCTCCATCCGTGGGTATTTCACACAAACATGTGACCTCTGACATCACTGGGAAGAAAGGGGTGCTGATCACTATCCAGTAACCAACATCCTAATTTGGGATTAGACTTCTTAATATTATTTCTTTATTACTCTGCCTCGCCCACACCTTAGCAACTGACATAATTCCACATGGATTCCTGTAGTGTCCTACAGTAATTGAAATTAAGGATGCATTCGTCAGCCTGTCAGGATCACTGAGAACAACATTGTTTAAAATGGATGCAAAAACAGATAAGACCATTCTTCTCTTGCTATGAGCGATCTGCCCCGTCTGTCTACAGAAAGCGTGATTGAGTGTGAACTCAGCGAAGCTCCCCACCCAAACCTCAACAGCATATCCAAAACAGCAGCGAGGCTAGCACGGATTCAGGAGAAAGATGACTTTGTCATTGGAACATCTTGCCTGGATCATTTAATCTCAAGTAGCCTCAGTCAGCCTGTTCATTAAACATAAAAAAGGGTTTGAACTGATCACCCGTATTGTTCTTTATTGTTGGGCATAGTTAACACTCATTTCCTGCTCCTATTAAAGCTGCAAGTTAACCCCCGATTGTCTGTTTACTTTCAGAAATTGCAGATAAGATATATAACCTGTTTAACGGCTACACCAGTGGGAAGGAGCAACAGACAGCTTACAACACTCTGATGGACCTGGGCGCTCCTACACTGCACCGTGTGCTTTACCACTACAACCAGCGCTACGAGAGCTTTGGTGAATTCACCTGGAGGTGTGAGGACGAGTTGGGACCCAGGTACGATTATTTGACTGTTTCCTTTCTTCCTTAACGAGTCAACAAGAACAAAAGATGCCACACTGGAAAATGCATGTTTATTGAACACCACAGGCAGCTTAGTTTTACCCACGCTAGAAACGACAGGAAAAAGTGACTTTTCTGCCAGACAATTGGGACTCGGCTTGTATTTCAAAAGTGCCCACATCTCTGACGTGTAACCTCAGATCAGAAAAATGCATTCCTTCCAGCAAATTGATCATCAACTTTAACTTGATCGCCAATTTATCAGCAGAACCCAACAATATACAAAGCCCTGTAGGTCTGTCTTGAGTCAGACTTTTACAGAATACCAAAAGCCTGAGCCATCTTAATAACGTGTAGACTGCGTTCACTGTAATCAGTCTTCCAGATATGCGTGCGTGTGGGAGTGTGTGTAATCCATTCATGAGTTGCCCTCCCACCAACAAAGTGCAATCTGTCATGCCGAGCTTGTGCAATTGACACTGACATCTTCAAACAATAACAGTGTGAGACTGAAGAAAGTGGCAACTAGACAAGAGTCTGGATTGGATCACAGTTTGTCAGAACAACACTTTAAAATGCAATTTGAGCAGATAGGCCATAAACGAAACATTCACCAGCAATCCTGTAAAACCCAGAAAGCTAGCACTGAATTACAAGACATAGATGTGCTCTATTAGTGATTACTGCACCCCCAACAGCTTATAGGAATTTGTTCCCATTCAGATAAAGATCTATATAGCTACTATCAGGTGCGATGAATAAATCAACA